TCATGTAAAGAGCTTGCACTTATATTGACAATATATATCCTTATATCGTGGCTCAAGTAATTACATAGCACGATGATATCGAACCTAGCTCTATTGTAGTATAATAACAAAGAGCATTGACCTAAATGAATATATGTAATCCAGGTAGAACTTGATTCTTTGACAAAGAGACAGGTATTTGGTGCGGTAAGTGCTAACCGATCAAGTGTAAAGCCTGTAGGACATAAATTAGTCTTTGTCATAAAGCGTATTGAGGAACTGTAAGGTCTATAGAATTTCTCACAAGCACCCTGGATTTATCCAAAAGGGAGACATACACTCCTATATTGAACATTATACTGTTCTACTACTTAATCATCTAAAGTATAAGAGATGCAAATAACAAATGTGGGTTATAAATATCTCAATTAGGGTCTTGATTGAGACATATATTTGAAACTTGAAAGTAGTTGATGTACTTTCATAACCCATGTCAATTCACTTGACAGTTGAGTACGTTCTCATTGAGAATGAAACATTCACTTCCGAGATTGAAATAGACTAGATTAAAAGGGTATATCCATATGAAGAGACAACTTGTCTGAAAAGGGATATAAAGAAGACAAGTTCAAGATTTACAACTATCATTATGGTACTCTAAATGAAATATGAGCAAACGTTGAATAGTTGAAATCTGTATATGAGATGATAGATCTTGAGAAACTTTATAAGTATAGAGTTGGTGGAACATTAAATCACCAGGTTGCATATACTCAAATATTCTCACGCAAATGATGTGGTTAATGCAACCTATTAGCACTCTCATGATCAATTTGAACTATGGATACAAGAAATGATCCATTCAATCAAATGAACATATTGGAGAATTATCGAGATAAGAAATTCCCAATACGAGTGCAAAAGTGCATTACTGCACTTGAACCAATATTGTATTCTCATTGAACTTGTTGCCTATAACTATACTGGGACAATTATGATGCATAGTCATCCAATCATTATCAAAATACATTTTGATGTTTGTGTTGGAATTGTTGGCATGGATATTATTTATTTCTAAGTTAAACTTAGTGATTGATGATAATATTGTTCCTAATGAAAATATGTATGTGTAAACCTTAAACATAAAGTAACTTGTTTGACGGTTTTACTAAGGTTAAAGACACATTAATCCTCATAAACAAAGACCTCAAATTAGTAATGCATATTCTATGGGATACATTATGGTATCACGATTGTGACGTCTTATGAGTGTCATTGGTATAAGAACATATCAGTGCAATGTATATAACACTTTAGGAAGAGTTCTAATTATCATCGACCATATCGGTGCATTGTACTCTTTTTCCTATGACCAAGTTTTATTTTTCCCATTGGGTTTTGTTACTTGGCAAGGTTTTAATGAGGCAATAAGAATGCATCGCTCCTTGATTTTATTTGGCACACAAGACAATATTGTTTTGAGAAAATTTATTTAGCGTCATCATCAGAGGTAACTTGATGCTTGAATTCAAAAGCAATATAATAGTGCATATGTGTGACCCTATTGATTGATGTAATAATCAGGGACAGGTGTAGACTCCAGGGGGAGTCAAGCACCCATATTATAATACTCTTTTATGCCAAGATTTATTTTCCCATCGGGTGGGTGTTGCTTGGCAAACAGAAGTTAACATTCATCCAGTGGAGGAATTCTTCCATATTCTACAAAAGTTGTACTCTTTCCGTTCACTCAAGGTTATTTTTCCAGAGAGGTTTTCTTACTTGAAGATGCGTTATGAGGCAACAAGACATCTACCTTTCTATCTACAACTCAGCACAAGGGGGAGTGTTAAAGGGAACTGCAAATTGTGTGCTATCGTGTAGATATAATATGTATTACGGATTGTACTTTGTAGTTTATGTATTGTGGGCCCATTGGGCTTTAACTGTAAACCCTAATCCCGCCTCATATATAGAGACGTTGGGCAATGAAAAAGTGAGTGAAGTGAGTCTTCCTTCAACAGTAATATAGTTTTTCATAGGTGAGTAACTTATAAGTTCTTTCGAAGGTTGAACCGTCAGAATAGAAAACCTAGTTTCATGGGCCTCTCTATTATAATAAATAAGGATTAAAACTTATTGTTCCCAATAATAGAAAGACACAACTCAAACCATGATATCCCTTCTCGTCTCCCTTCTCATTCGGCCAACACGCTAGCGTGAAATACTGCTTTAGTCGACTAAATCGGTAGGATTTAGTTTGATAAAAAAAGTTTTATCCAACTAAGTCAGTGACAAGAAAGAACACAAGGCACACACTATTTATTCGAATAAAAGCAATTTTTTTCGAATAAATGACCCAGAAAACTCCAAAAATGATATGACCATTTTGAAACCACCTCAAAACATTTAGAGAGGATCTGGAAAACATTTTGAGATTAGGAGAAATAACTACTCCGTATATGTCATACTCTTTAACAAACTTTATAAGACCTAAAAGACTACCCAACCACGGTAATAAAGTCTTTGGTCTCGATCCTTCCACCGATGCTCAAGTCCCTTCTTCACGGACGGATATGAATTTCTTGTAGCTTTGATCTTATCCTTGATTCACAATATGATGGTGATCTTTTTGTCACCTTTTTGTCATTATCAAAATCTAAAATACAATAGGCAAAGGACACTGCAAATATATACTCCCTCCGTCCACAAATGAACTTCCTAGTTGTGAGTTACGATATTTGATTGAAGTTATTTTCAAGTCATTTTATATGAAAAATTGTGTAAAATTTAAAAATAAAAATTACATATTAAAATACTATATCAAAAGATCTACAAAACAAGAGGTGACATGACTATATTATTTTATCAAATGGGTGACGAAAATAGGCCAACAAAATAAATAAAGTTTGACCATGTGAAAAAGTGAACAAGAAATTTATTTATGGACGGAGGGAGTATATTCATGATAGCACATTGTCCAATACTTTTAATTTCAAACATGTTAAATTTTGCATTTAATTAATGTAGTATTTCATAATTTTAATGTTGCATTCACTTATTTTAAAGTTTTTGATTGTTACATTTTTTATCTTTTTAATATTATTCATCTATTTTTATTAATAAATAAATATTTGTATTAAATTTATATAAGTTTTGAGAAATGCAAAACAAATGGAGAGGCGGAGCAATAACATTGCAGATATTTAGAACGAGCATGAAAATTAGTGGAATACTGACGTAACAGGCAATAGAGCAAGGCGCGATTCCCTCTCATTGTAAAAGCTCTAACCCTTTTTATTTGTTAATAACATTTCTGAATGAAAGTAGAGAACTTTAATTAAGTAGTGAGGTGAGGACTCCAGGTATTTCCTTGGTGCGAATGTGTTCAATGTGTGATAGCCTCTTGC